TTCAATTCTTCAGAGCTAGTTATAATTAAGAAACATGGAAAAAATACATCTGATACAGTGCTTTCTATGTCGCTTCTTAGTTGGTTCACAATCTTTCAGGTACATTGTTGGAGCAGGAAGGTATCATGGCATTCATATTTAAATGGAAAAAGATTCAGGTCCGACCGCCCCACCCACCATGGAGCCCAAACAAGGGGATGCAGATTCCTATGCCAGAGCTAGCCGGAGTAACAACCCCCCGCCATGTTGAGGCGGCATAGCAGGACTTGGAAGGGCAGTAATGAATGTTTTGTCAAGCTAAAAAGTTCACTAGCACAAAAGAAAAAAAATTTAATTTGATACAAGATGTTTTTGTTTCCTGAAAATAGGGCATAATGCAACGAGCTGTAAAGTTTCATTGAAGTGTATGTTATGTTCAAAGAGACATTTTTCAATAATACAGGGTTGCCACTCAAATAGGAAAATGAAATTGCCCAACTTTTCTACGTGTGTTTCAAGAAAATTAAAATCTCTCCAAGTACACGTTGGCTGTGCTAAGGGTCATTTAATTACGGTACCACTTGAAAACATCAAAATTTGGCAATTGCATATGACTTACTATTATAACTATAATAGGTGTTGTCTTCCTCAAATAACTTTCAAATTAAGTTTTTGCCAAACTGAAAACACTTGCAAACTAAATCATCATACTTTTCAGCTATCATCAGCTGTACCACAAAGTGAGATACGTCCAAATAAATTCCCTTTTTAATGAGCTGCGGAAATTGGTTCTATTCTAGCTGACCAAATGACACTCACATGATACGTAATTCGCCCAAAAAAAAATTGTTTCCAACACTGCCGCAAAAATCCCTTATCAGGTAGCATAGAAACCCTGATAATATCTCCAGAACAGCATAAGTAATGCCAACAATAAAGACAAAAATAATTCAGTTTGGGAAAACAAACCTCTTGAGTCAACAAAGAAGAATGTACAATACCATATGCACATGAATAAACAAAGAATGCATTGCAAATAACTACTTTATAACAATTGTTTACACTAAACTGATTTTAAGATCAGTCCCTTTGTGAAGGCGATCAAAGCGTTAAAAACAAGGACTGCAATGAATCTAACCCTTCCAGAGCTCTACAATTTTCAGAATAAAGAATTTTTCTGCCGTAAATGATAAATCTAGCAAGAAGTGCAAAAAATCCCTATCCCTGTATCAAAATATGGATTACAATTTGAAGAAACTTTAGAAAAATTCTGATGAAAATGTGAAAATTAAAAAAAAAATAATTGAATTTAAAATTGACGACAATATTTTTTGTAAGACCGGTATGCCCATGATGAAATTTTGCTTTCAACTCTTTTCCTGGCAGTCATCAGTATTCTTTTTTTACTCGCTTGTTTGGTCACTGCTGACTGACTTTGCATGACTAGTAATTCTTCTATTTATTAACTCTGCATTCACAGCTCTTTTTGAGACAAAGCACTACATTTACATTATCAAAGATTAAAAAGAAATAGAAGTGGAAAAAAAACTAGCTACTTCTGAGAATTGAAGAATATAGCATCAATACAAACATTCACAAAAAAATAATCTCCAGTTTATGATTTAATAATCTTCAGTTTTAATTCTTATTCAGTCCTTCCTAATGCTTCTAAAATTTCAATACCTTAATTTTTCATCTTTCATTACTATCTTCCTTGCCAGATGGGGCTATGCTCACATTCACTTTGCTCTGGCCATTATTTCTTATATAAACATGGTTGGGCATCACTCTTCTCTTCTTTGCAGAACTTGAGGTGAAAAAGCTTGATTTGATAAATAATTTGCAGATGAATTCATCAAATTCATTAATAAAGAATAGTCATCTACAGAAAAAAAAATAATAATAATAATGCTGACAAAACTGGCCTGTTCTAGAAATATGTGCCCTGACATACCTTGGGTAGATTCTGCAGTAAAGACCCCAAATGATGTCAATGTCAGTAAAACTAACGATTCTGGCATGTCCAAATGCAGCAGGAACACACAAATTTAAATTTTTCATACTTAGAAAAATACATAATTTCAGGCACTTAAGGGTGTACATCTCACGTCATCTATTGCTCAAATAAAAGATTAGGAATAACATATTAATGAATGTTTGGTTTAAAAATCATTTCATACCAGAGGTTTGGCAACATCTGAAATCGGTTTACCATATGATGCAAAATTTGCCCTGATTCTAGGCAACTATTCAGCTCTTACTTCACTTAAAATTTTTAGTGAGAGATAATGTCTGTTTTGTTCTGTGCTCCAAACTGTGAATTCATTAACCAGCCAATAGATACTGTAATGCTTGCTCTACATGTGCATACAAAATAGCTATTTTAAAATCTATTTGAAATTTTTTGAACAATGGCAAAAGCATTCAGGAATTTTTTTAATTTAAATAAAAATACATAACATCTGCTGTGTGAAAAACTGCAAGGTCATGGGAGGGCATATCTGTCGATGTTTAAAAAAATATTCGGAAAAGTTTACGACCAGCTACCACATTTCATGATGATGATGATGGTTGCAAATCTGAGGATCTTCAATTCTCACAAGCAAAAGGAGAAATTTTTCAAGATAGACTTTATGGAATTTGTGATGAAATACAGAGAAATGATAATAAATGAAAATGCCATTGTCGCAATTGTGACGACAATGACCCAATCATCAATAAACCAGTGAACGGCAAAAACTGCAGTACAGTATTAAATCAAGAAAATATCACTATCGATACTGAAGAAAGTAAAAACAAGGTTATAAAGAATGAAAGCATTTTGACTGACAGCTTAGTGGGAGTTTTCGACATGGCAAGTACAGGACCCTGAACAAAGAAACTTTTGTAACTGAACAAAACTAGTTTTATAGATAGACAAATAAGATAGAGAAATTACTAGCCTCCCCCAAAAAAGCTTATACAACTTGCATTGAAAGAAATGTTTAATGAAACAAACAATTACATACTGAGTCCTCTTTTGTAAATTTTGATTCACTTATAAGATATTTTCTCCTTCCTTTCTGCATGCCTTCACAGTGTGACTGGAAGCACACTTAACATGTATTCAGCAGGTCCAGAGTTTAAGAATCCCAGCTAGGGCACTGCTCATTTTTCACGTCTCCTGCTTCAAAATATCCTAATGACTGTACATACTTAAGGTCATAAATGCTACAATATTTCATAAATAAATATTTCATTTCTTTATTTGTATAATTTCCATGCATCATCTTATTAAAGTGATGACCTAACATCCAGAAATTTTTTCGATCTGGAATCACTAATGTCCCAACAATTTTGGAACTCAGATTTGGTACTGTATTTTACATAAGAAAATAAGTACTAACACAGCAGGAGAGCAAAAAGTGAGAAAAGAATTCACAGATTTCAGTTCAAAGGTTGCCACCCAGGCAGGAAAGTGGTTAGTGACTCTGATTACCATACTGAAGGGTTCTGGTTCAAATACGGGAAAAGGTATAGTTATTTTCTGTCCCTTCATAGGAGGCAACAGTACCCTACCAATCAGGTGCCTCCATAATGAAGTGACTACTGCTTCCGGCCTTAGTAGTGGCCTATAATGGGAAAAATCATGTTTAGAATTTCTTATGGAATTTGTGTTCTAGAAAACAGTGGCAAACTTCAGGACATGGACACAGCCAACTCGTAACACTCTTTCAGTACTACACACTTCACTATAATAAACAAAACTATTTTTAATCTCACAGAATTTTTTGTATAACTATAACATTATGATGTTTAAGTAAAATTACATCTAAATATTATTAACAAATTTTTAAGAATTGAGAACATATAAATTACTTGTGTGAAAATGTTTTCAGCACACTAAATGCAAAAAAATTAAAAAGAATGTTACATACTAGTTCTAATTTACTTCTAAACCAATCATTCAAGGAAAGCCAAAAAGATGGCTTCTCACAACAGCCAATTTAATCTTTTTCTATACCGATTAGCACACAACTGAAAAATGCCAAACAAGAAAACCTATAACCTCACCACATATATAAAAAAAGGGAGGAGCCATATCTCTCTACATAATCAGAACTGAGAATAAGAAAATTGTTCATAGAGTACTGATCAATAGCATGCAATTTTTAATATTCTATTATTAAAATGCATTAAAGGAGAATTTTTAGAGTAAACCTTTTGCTACAAAATCAGCTTAATTTGATTTCTTGGCAAACTGCTGAAAGTCCTACTCTGCAGAAAAAAAAAAAGAAAAAAAATCTGGAATAATTTGGACTTCTTGCAGCTATACAGTGCAGAGATCGGAAGAATGATTAAAGTTTGAAACACGTATACAATAATTTTTAGTCTTCAAACTGAAACTATCTATAATAGCAAATAAATAATCTTACCTTTTTGTTGTTTTAAAATAATGTGAGAATGTTACTTTTTATACATATGTACCTGTTATCCTCTAATGTACATTTTGTAAAATATTTTGTACATTATTTATCTCTACGTATTGTATTGGAAGACTTCAAAATCTTATTTCGGTGATACAGACACACAAAAGAGGGGGGGGGAAAGAGAAAAGAGAAATTTCAGTTTCGTAGACACTTTTTACCTTGATTACTTCATGCAAATGAGTACACTTATGTTAAAACAGAATGTCTAGAAAAAAATTATTTCAGTACAAAAAGTACTTTCTACGTATATAATACACAAGAAGATATGAAAATAATTGATATATGGGTTATTTTTAGCCATTTGTCGCAGCATGTATGATATTTACACAAGTAAAAAGAAAAGTATATTGCAAAAGAAAAACACTACTTGCTAATGAGGTAATCATTTTGGAACGTTTCGATTTTAACTTAATTAAAGTTATTTTCCTCATCAGCTATAGGTTGGTTGAAAAGGCCAGAATATTTGCTAATATTAATAACAGAAAAAAAAAAAAAAAAACTATAAATTAGCTGATTTAAAAATCTTTGCTTTTAAATTCTGAATAAACTAACCTCCATTTGTACATCTCTTTGAACACCATTTAAACGTGCAGTTGACGCAGCAGTTGCAATCACAGTCTGTTTCACTAATTTTGGTTGCATCTTGGAAGATACAAGAGGATTGGATTTTATGACTCTAGAAGGAGTAGCAGTAATTACACGACCTTTATTTGAAACTATTCGTGCTTGTATAGGTGTCCTAATTTGCGAACTTAAATTAACTTGAGATAAAGCTCCAGGCCTCACACAGCGCATGACTGTTGTAGGAGAACCAACAATTCCTTGACTAAGAGGTGCCACCTTTTCAGGAGAGTATATAACCATTTTGGAAACATTTTGTGGAACAACCTGTCGCTGAAGATTTCTTTGTTGCACTTTGTTTGCCAAAAGGCTTTTGATTAAAGTACTTGAACCAGTTGTGGTTGGAGTTGCTTGTGCACTTGATGTGGTACTTTGTGACACAGAGTTAGGCACAGGAGTAGGTGATGCACATTTACGGCCACTAGATGCTGTCTGAGATGGTCGTTTCAATGGAGGAGATGTAACACCACTTCTGGGAGGCGCTGAGAGTTGAGCTTTGAGTATAGGACTATGAGTAAGTTTTTGACCAGGTTTGCAGGAAGCAGAAGTTGTTGGTGTTGCAGGAACTGTAATAAAAAATTTATATACAATACATGGACAATTATAACTGAAGTATTTTAGTGATTATTTCCTATTTCCATGCAGTGAATTCCAATACAAAAAAAGTTTTCCATTCAAAGTCAATAAAATTTATATAAGCAATAAAATACAATAATGAAGTTATAACAATTAACAATAATGATTATTTGAATTTGTTTGAAAGGTAACTTAAAATTACTTACTTAAATTCTGAACAAACTAACCTTTATTTGAAATTAAGAGTGATATGAAAATACTGTAAAATAAATTTAAAATTGTAGTTATGATTTTTACAATAAAAGGATATATAGTGGAAGCCTGATAATTCACCACCACTTAACCTGCAGTTATTTTAATATGTAAACAAGCAAAATTACAATTTAAAAAAAAATCAGGGCTGCATTTTTCCCCCCCTCTCCCCGCAAATATACACATCATCGTTTTCAACAAAACACATTATAACTTTTATTTTTATTTAAGAGGGAATTCTTTCAATCATTAAATTTATTTAGCATTTCTAGTATTATTAGTACTTTTTTTAATTTTAGGTAAATTACTACTTTCAGATGCATATTCCTCTCCTTTTAAATTGTTCCTGTATTTATGTGATAACAAATGTAGAAAATTTAGTGAACCACGACCTTCCAGAAACTGACCAAGTTTCAGCTTAAATGAACTTCACATTTGCCTTGTTTAAATTTCACGTAATGAGCAAGCTACTATATCAGTAATAAATGGGGATACACTTTAAAAAAATAACACTTAATACATTTTTTTTGTGCTAAAAATAGAAAACATTGTAACATAAAACTAATGAACAGAGAAATGCAAGTGTACCACATTTTGCAAGCTATTTGCACATCAAAGCACAATGGCAGATTTAGCACAAAAGTTCACTTGACCAAAACATGCACTTCTGAGAGATTGAGCAAACATTTTAAGTACTAATTTATATAAATTTTCTCTGATGTAACTGTGAAAAAAAATTACTTCGAAAAGTAATTTTGATGATGTGTATGTATGTGTGTTTTATATATACAGTTATTCATGAGCAAACATTTAATACATAAAATAGAAAGAGTGCAAGCAAAACTCATAAAGACATCACCAATCGAGAAAATCCCCTAGTCAGCATAATCTTTGGTCCCAATGCAAATTATTACATTATTTAAATGCATGTCAAAAAACGACAACCCATAGAATTTAAACTATTAAGTGTATCTGGCACCACTAACAATCAGGCTTTCATATATTACAAGGTTATTACTGGCAAAAAATTCTTAAATCAAAATTAATAGCTATGCAATTTTGAAATAAACTTAAATAATTAAAAATTTATCAATAAATTAACTTAATACAATGGAATTTTAGCATAGTTACATATGATTTAGAATCTGAATTTTTTTTGGTCCAATTAACATAAAAATTCTTATAGCGTGAAAGCAGCACTAATCATTATATAATCACAGGGAGTTTTAAAATGGCAGGCTACTTCAAATGTGCCAGAATGTAACTGGCCTTAATAAACTGCCATACAGGTTGCAACTAGCAAATATAGCTAAATTCTAGTCCAGCTGAAAATTCCTTTGAATAAACGTGACATTTTTTTGAACAAAAATAAAATTTTGCTACATTTAAATAAATAATATTTTTAATTATAATGGCCTAAAACTAACCTTTCACAAAATAAACAAGGCAACATATTAGCAATCCTAAATATATGATCATGTGTGTTGTAGATGCTCCCTTATAGTCATAAACAGTAATCAAAACACCCTATCATTAGCATGAATTCTGATTAGCACACAGCAGAGTATCTAATACTAAACTTAAGAGTTAATTTTGCTACTTGATCAATTTCATGACTCTTGAATCAATCTAGCTATACTTACTTACTTTACAGATAACTCAAAAGAAGGAAAAAAGGGGGGAGCCTATGTGCTTAGATTGTAAGAATTCCAGGGAAGTGTTTGCATTAGGATGTAACTATCAAAAGCAGCATTGGACAAAAAACCTTGTTTCGAGGCAACTCCATGTTATACTATCAAAATCAATTTAAGCTTAGCAGTTCTAAAGTGAAAAAAATTTTAATTAGTTAAAGGGATGTCATTTTAAGCTTTGTCAAATCATTACTTTATGGCAGCAATGTTGGACATTAAAAAAGCTGCAACCACAATTTACTAGAGAAGCCCGAGATCTTCTGAAGTTTCTTTTCTTCCTTTTAAGTCAAAATAGAACAATCTAAAGTTTTGCAGTCACAATAAAACATTTCTTTTCCACTGCACATGGCTTGTAAAGGAAAACAAAACTCTAGTCAAATATATCCGCTGACAATTAGAATTCAACAATTTTGGTATATACAAAACAAATTACCAGCCAGACATGATTGTTTTTCAGACCATAAATGCCCAGACCCTTTTTCAGCGTGAATACTCTTATGATACTCATGACTTTGACATCAGTAATAGCTAAACTATAAATCTGATTAAATACATTTAACCGTTTCACTGCTAAGCAATTCTTGCAAGAATGCACGAAAACTGCGGGACATATTGTGACTTGATGATGTCAAATAATGCCACTGAAATACAGTATTTGCATGTTTGACAAGCATATCAAACCTGCCACATAGGTCATAATTCGGATGGCCTGGTTCAAATAATAACGTATTGTCAATTAAGTGAAAAAACTTCAAAATCAGTTGAAACCTATCCCTTGAAAACATTTTCCTAAACCATGGTATATATCGGGAACCTTTTATCAAAAAACTATCAATTGTTGGCCTTCTCATAATCCCCATTTCGAGCAACACTGCAATAGAGGCTTTTATTTCGTATATTGTTGTTGGCATCCACTTTTTTGCTAGAGAATTATTTCGAAACAGTGTGCAAGGCAAAAAACTTGGTAGCATATCAATTTGTTTCCCTTACGATGGTTTCAAGCAACAATGAGTTAAAAAATAAAATGAAATATGTCATGGGTGTAGCATTGGGGGGAGGCTCACATCTAGGTCCAGGAGTCTCAAAAAAATTATTTGTTGCTTTGGAAAACACATTTGTCGGAGGAATATTCATAAAAGTTGGTGTTTCTTCTGCTTCTGAAGATGAGGTAGAAGACTCATTTTCAATCCTCAGTCTTTTTCTTTGATGAGTTATAATAATGCTATCATCACTACTTGTGTCTCAAAATCACTAGCAATCAAATCAACGTCCGAAATAATAGCCCGTGACATGGTTATTTTTTTTAAATAATATATAAAAATGGTAAAAAGTTATTTTAGAATGCACTCGTGTTACAAAGTACACACGAGGTCAGACTACTTTCACACCCACGGAGCAACAAAGACACACTGAAACTCACAGTGCAAAAGCGTTGTGCCGCAGTTTTTTAGACAAATGAATGCAGCGCTTTTACACCGTGAAGCAGTCCAACGGTTAATGGAAGGTATGTCTTCAAGAAGACTTTTATGGGAACTGGCAAGTCAAACTACCAGTGTTCAAGAGTGTTATAGCTTAGCTACAGGTCGGAATTAACAAGTTTTGTTCCGAATATATAATACACTTGTTTCCTTCCATGGGCCCACCATACTAAATGTGATATGAAAGTGAAATATCCTGGTGGTCCACTCCATAGTATTTGTTACACTGAACTGGAATGCTTCATTTTGAATTTTAAATCTTCGTAAATTCTATCAGAATGTCATGAAACATTATTGAATGTACTATCTTGGGTGTTAGCTTTGTTGCTATGAATATTTATTTATTATTATATTCTACATATGTAAAACGTGTGTTTATAATGCACATTCAGAACCCAGTGCAAGCAGCTTAAAATTCAGTGTATAAGTATAGTAATGGGATATAATAGACACTGTTATTTAAATTCTTCTTACGTCTCACTTCATTATTGTATGGAAATAACTGTATTCATATTGTATGGAAATAATTTATGCATGAAATTGTAATCATTATTAGTATTATTGCACACTAACTTACTTTGAATTTTAATTGTAAGTATTTTTTTTTTCTTATAAGAAACAACATTTATATAACATACAAATGAATACATATGCATTAATAAAAAGTAACATTTATAGGAATTATTTTTGCATGTTACGATTAACTGGAAAATATGCTCTGGCACACCGCGATATATATTCTCCAAGGTCATGCGCACAAAGGAAAAACACACACAAAAGACCTCGGAAGTTGCTTCTTCAGCACTAGGTCAGTGAGCACTTGCTCACAGCGTTAAGATTTCTGATGGAACTGTCTTTTCACCGACTTTCTTTGTACTATAAGCACTTAAAAGTAGCATGACTAACAGTAAAATAGCATGATTAACTATTAAAAAAGAATTTTATGCATACATAAAGGTCAAACTAGCTTGTTGGAACTACTGCAGAAAAAAAAGAGGGAAAGAGATAAAAGCATCCAGATATGTCTGGCCACGAAAATTAATTTTATTAACTGGACACCGATACAACTTCATTTCTAGAAAGACGTTTCACTAAGTATGTAAGTGTAAAAAATTACATGAAAAACAAAGAGATGCAGTTTATTAAAAAAGATAAAATTTAAAGCAAGTATGAAATACCTTTCCGAAATGAATTAGCATTATTCGTTGACTTGGAAGGAGGAGGACCAGTTTGTGTTGTAGTAACTTTTTTTCTCTTCAAACCATCATGATGAAAAGTTATTATACCATTCCCTGACTCAATTTTCTTTAATCCACACTGTGGAAAACTATTCCTGAAATTAAGGAAAAGCATTACAGAAAGCAGTGTTTCATAAAAAACAATTAAAAAATTTGAAATAAGTTTAAAATAGTATGCTTCCTTATCATTGGCTTTTATTGGCTCCAGGTTGTAAATCCAGGTACACATATATCATTCAAGAAAGTATATCATTTGCAAAGAATTGCAAAATAGAAAAAGTAAAACTAAAAGGAATTGAAAGGCTTTAAAAATGGATCATTCATAAGTTAATTTCTAAACAATCTGTAATCAATATGCTTACTCCCTTCAGAATCAAATTTGCAGAACTTCTGTAAAAGCAATTGTACATACATTTAAAAAGGTAAAAAAAAAAGCTGCATATTAATATGCACGCACACTATATGCATATAGACATAACAATGGTCATTTCTTTAGCAAGCAAGCATTTATTAGCAAAAGCTTGCTCACCAAAGAAATGACAAAATTTAAACATAAAAAGCTTTATTTACTTACTTAACACAATTTGCAAACACATTAGCATTGACAACACCTTTCCGGCCAGCTTTACTGCAATAGCTAACATATTCTGCATATATTTCATTCCGTGACATACTACTTCCTGCTGAAGCTTCATATGTTGATTTCAACCTTAAATAAGCATTGAAAATAAATTATCATCAGCATTTCAGTACACACAAATTAACAGAATGTGTCTCGATCAAAGATACTAGTCTAGAACTGCTTTCATTCAAATCTTACCAGTTACTGGCAAATGTTTCAGAATCAACATCATCCTTTGAAGAGGATGTGGGTGAAGGTGATGAGGAAGCAGATTGTTCAGCTGCAGCAGGAGAAGCTATAAAAAATTATGTAAGAATAACAGTGGTAAGAAAATTACTCTCAATTTTTTTTAAAGCAGAACATGAGTGAAAACTTAGCAGCAAACACCAAAGGTATGACATAAATAAACGAAATTGATCAGATTTGAAGCTGATCATGTCTTAAAAGATTTTAATTTGTATTTAGCAATTAAAAAATAACTAAATACATAAATATAAAAATGGAATAAGCAACTATCTGTAGTAGTAGCCTGCTTTATACTCTTTATCTAACCTACTTATTTTTATCATTACTATTGGCTGTTATTTTGCAGTATAGCTAATACAATTGTTTAAACAAGTGCGCAAGAACTTTTAGCATTTCATATGGAATACTGTAGCACTTCTGATGAAAAAGAACTAAGTTGTTGAGCTGAAATACTTTTAAGCAGGTTAGAAAATTCATTCGGATTCGTTCACGATTTTAAAAACATTTTGAAGTGCCTAGGAGCATGAATGAGTGTAATTTTTGGATATGCACTGATTGCAACTTTTAGATATACACTAATTTTTCAGATATGCACTGAAAAATGCACAAAATCAGCTAAGTTCACATTAACAAATTTTGTCTACTGCAGACAAATGAATCCTATTCACAAAGTGAATGCCCTGAAAATTAAGAACTAAATCTTGTTCTAGGAAAAAATACATTCTGCATGAAAATAAGTCTTAATCACAAAAGCAATTTATGTTGGTGACTTTAATGACATTATATGGTGTTACAGGTACAGTAGGTATAGTGAAACCTCAATTAATAAATTCGTTCCTGAAAGTTGTTCTTCAATCAAAACAATTTTGCCTGTAATTTAAACTTTAAAACAGCACTTTAAGCGTAAGTTTATAAAGCCAAAATGAATGGAAATCATTATATATAAAACAAATATTAAACAGATAAACCAGATAAAAATTTAACTTATTTTTTAAATATATCTTTTTTTTTACTTTTGGGGGGTGGGGGTGGGGGTGTACTTCAGACTCAGTGAACCTCTGTTTCATTCAAAATACTTCAATGTGACATGTTGTTGCTTATGTTCAAAAATGTTTACATGCCACTGGTTTATCAAGGTATGAAAATTTTGCATTTTACCTCCTTTTGTACAAACTTTCACATATGAGAGAACAAAGTAATTTTTTTTCCTTCTTCTGAACAAATTTTTTTTTTCTTTTTTTTTTTTTTTTTTTTTTTTTTTTTTTTTTCCAAGCCATGTTTCACTGCTGCATCTGAAGTTGTTGCAATTAATTCTTGTTGAGCTTATTATGGTGCTCAGCTAGATGGAACAAAAACGTTCCACTCAAAGTCTGTGCCTGCACGCCAATCTGGCCGTAATTTCCTCCTGACCGAATTCATGGTCCTGTAAATCACTTGCTGTTGGAAGCTGCTAATGAGAGCTAAGCAATGGAAAATATTAAAAGAATGTTTTGAGAAATTTCTAAATGCTAAGTTTGTGGCACAGGTTACCTCAAAACACCTCTGAAAATCATATGGTTACGAAATGCCCAGCCATGGTAAGATAGCAACCCTGCAAAGCAGGTTTAGGGTTGCCAGAAAATGGCAAGAGAAGGTAGAGTTGCCATATTTGGTGTGAAATCGCCCAGCTGGTGACTAAATTGGTGATGGACCACAGAAAGATGGAGAACTTTCTGGAAAAAATTTTTACCGGTTTGGCACAGAATGTCTCGAAGGTAGGTCAAAAGCTATATAAACCCTGCCTGCATGCAGAGTACCAATGCAAAGAGTCTAGTGTCGAGTGTATCGAATATATTGCCATGCGTCATGAGTATCATCAGTGTATCACGAGTTGGTGCATCGTTGAGGCTGTCAAGTATACCATTGAGTGCATCGCGAGTTGTAGTGTGGAGAGTCTCGAAAGTTATGTTCAGTTCTGAAAACGACCGAACTGAGTCAGGAGCTGTACTCTAGTGATTTGCCGTGACGCTATCTTCACCACTATAGCCTGAAGGCTGTGCTGCTGTTATTTCAGAGCGTTTGTCATAGTTTTTTAGTGACTGTAAACGTGATTTTGAATGTCCTGAGTAGGACTGGCTAATAAATTGTGCTCTGATACTTCATCAAGTGTTGTCATCAATCATTCCAAATTAACGAACCCGCAGAAACACAACAATATGTTGGGGACTTCACTGTTTATCATTCATCAACCACGACATATTTTCTCCCAGATAATTTGTACATGAAGTGAGATATTTGCAAGAAAAGGTTCCCTGTACAATTTCCAGCATAATTACAGTGAATTTTGCTTTTTATCCTTCTTTCACATTTCAGAAAAAATGTCATTAATGAAATGGCATTGAAAAAGCAAAGGTTTACTTGACTTTTTTAGGTAATGAAATAAAATTCGAGAAAAAAATTATTAAAATAAAAGGAGTGGGAGTTTTGAGAAACTTGAATTTTCAAATCACAGAAAACTGCATTAGCTGAGTTAATTATGATAAAATAAATAGTAAAGGTAATAACAGAAGTGCAAAACGGCAGCAAGGAATTACAGAAAGTTAACCATATGTCAGTATAATATTTAGATGTGTTTTCAGTATAAAAATACATGTAAAGAACTCTTATGATCATGTTAGTTTGAGCTTTTTGTTGACAAACTCATGAATCATACTGTTACTGAAATCAACAAATATTTTATATATGATAATACAAGTAGGAAATATTTGTGCACCTTAATAATGTTCAGAGCCTTGAAGTGAATCATCATGAAACTAAAAATGCACATAAATTGAAGAATAAATACTATTCATACACTCATCATTAGTCTCAAATCACTGCAGGTGAAACATAAACCTCTGCACGGTATGAAAATGATAAGGGACTATTATCAAGTACAATGGTACTAACTACACAAAAAACTGATTCAGACATTTGTATAACAGAACTTTTTTTAATCATAATAAACGGCAGAGTTCTAGCTGCAATACTGACCACTCAAAAATGTGCTTCAAATTCAGCAATTAACATTCTGGTGAAAAATATGTACAGCTTTCAAACAATTTGCATCTAACTTTCTGTAAAGTTGCTGAAAATGTATGAGCTTATTTTGATAGCATTTACATGAATCCCTGCCCAGGTTCCCATGTATATATAGTAGCTGGTCTTTTAAAGTCAGCATTTTTTTTCCTTTTAAAGAAGGATGTATATCTAACTGCCCTCAAAATTAATAGTGTTTTTCAAAACTTATGCACTTCCATATATGCATGGTAATCGGTTCCTTCTCCAGGAAATTTTTTGCTTCGGAATAAACCAGTCTTAAGTCTGGTTGCCTTCAAAATCAATATAATTTTATTTAAAATTTACTGCACTCTAAGGTTGCTTTTTAGCCTAATTTTCAAATTCACACATAATGTTCATAGACGTAAGTAATTTAATATACAGATTTCCAAGTAAACAGATAAAAGCTCACCTCATTACAAGGTCAAATGCCTTATGTTTCCAATTTATTTAGAGGCATGAAATATTGCCAAGAGGTAGACGTCAAGTGATACTCATTGTTTTCTTCATTAATATTAATTTTAGCTGAATATTTGAGAGCAGAAAGCAAATTTTTAAGATACAAGTTCATCTTTCAGATAAGGTTTCGTAACTTTTTATAGCAAAACACTGAAGCACTATTTCCCTAAGTATGAAGCGAAGACTTTCGAAAGAAGTTTAGTCATATGCATTTAGTTATTAGTAATTAAAATTCATGTTTTCATGGATGAAGCTAAGCTTGCAATGCACAGCAGAATTCTTTTACACTAAAGAATTGTGAAAAACAAACCTGATTTTTCTTCTTGTTCACTGTCAGATTCTGCTGGTACCAGAGTCTCAACAATTTTCATCTTAACTTGGCCTGATGGACCATACTGGTTTGGTTCCAAAGTCAGTAAGCTAACTAAAGCTCCTACAACAATTGTATAATGTAACAATATAGAGAACATAAAAGAATTTGAATAATTACAATTAATTTCCATACGCATATAATTTGTTACATAATAAACGTTTGACACTGATTACGCTTTAGAAAGAAATTAACATTTTTACAAATTTACCTATGGATCTATGTACACAAACTATTTTGTCACAAGCATATCTTCCCAAATCTGATAGAGCATACAGAGCTTCTAAGGTGTAAAAGAGTAGCATAACATCGTGCACCGTCAAAAATGACACCATCTGTTGATATGCCTAAAATGATAGGAGGGGAAAATTCTAATTAAATGCATTTTCAGGCACTAAAAAAATTAGCATATACACATCAAAACAGACATTACTGCACTTTCCTTTTTTCACTGTAGCATATTTTCAGCTTTATAACACCTTTTTTCACTAGCAGTTTTTCATCTTTGAAAGAATGTGGAAAATATCTTTAAAATTTAGTTATAACAAATCTATGAGCGAGTTCTACATATAAACAGAATTATTTTAAGTAATTATATTGTAGATACATTAGGTAGTTTTTGGAAGCAGAAGAGATGAAAAATTAGCAATGCCTTCGCCGGGAATCGAACCACGGACCTCTGAAATATCAGCTCAGTGTGCTGACCACTACACCATGAAGGCATGCTAGGAAGGCGGGAGAAATACCTTACAATATTACACTTTACATTACATTATGTTAATACTTTTCAAGGTATTTTCCACAGGCATCAATACTCTTCCCACTGTTATGGAATATTATTCAAAGCAAGCGATGTATTTTCTTGCAAGTTATCCATACAGTTGAAACACAGTTTTTATCAACAGAGTTGCTTTGTAAGAGCTGCTTCCATGGAAACAGAAAAAAATGAAAAATGGAAGTGGAAATGATGAGATGATTGAGAGATTGAGATGAGACTAAAGATGATTGAGAGAGTAGCATGAGTCAGACTAAAACAACATGTTCTCCAAGAATTATTCCATGGAAAGACTTGCTTGAAAAATCTTGTGAACTGAGTTTTGGCAATCTTCAGCCACTCCTCACATTTCCTCTACGTTTTCCTCATTTCTGGGCATCAATGGATGCCAAGTCATAGCAGTCTTCATTTGACATGTCACTGTTTTTTATTGGAAAACCACTTAAACACTTGCAATTTAGACAAAATTTCCTGAAACATAGCAATGGTCTCAACTGCAGTTTTCCTCAAAAAAAAAAAAAAAGTACACATATATTCTTTTGTTTTTAGAGGTCAGATATCACAAAAATGGCAGGACATACAGAAACACATAAATATCAGCACCAAGGACAAACAGCAGTACTTAGGTTAAAGCCATTTGACACATAGATGCAAGAAATTAAGCTAGAGGCCTAGCAGGACAGTCTAAAATTATGGCATTCCAGGCAAATTTTTTGGACTACTCCTATGTATGTAAAAAGGATAACCAAACTTGATCTTAGTAGGCAGGAATATTCAAGAGTTACAACAAGATGTTTATGTTGCATTAAAAGTACTGGATCAGTTTTTGAATAGAAAAATTTTTGAATCAAATTAAAAGGATTTTTTACTTTTTAATTAATATGCTTATTTATAAACATACTGTTTTGTTCTAGCTCTGCAATCAGGAAAGTATGTTCCTACTATATCTTAAATTTTAGTGCTGTAAACAGAACACTTGAAAGAAAAACGGGGAAAAAGGCACTTTCTTCCCTCCCCCACAATTATAATTTTCAACTCATTATAAAACTAGTAAATAGAAAATGAAAGACTAAGAAGGGTAGTGGGCTTTGAAGTAACATACACGCTTTTCATTTCAGTAAGAATAACACAGTAGTTCAAAAAAGAAGGGAAAAAAAAGAAAAACAATGCAGTATGTATTGAGCTAGAGATCTTTCCTTTAACTCATGTTTTAATAAAGACGGTAATTATAAAAGGATTTGACCATCAAAAAATTCCAATATTCCCTTGGTCAACCAATGCATAGGATAACATTCAAAGATTAATCCAGGAAGATATCATTTAATAAATTCACGAAAAATGGATCATCAGCTACATTTTTGTTTTTTTGCTATACAAGTAATACAGAGGGTAAATTTAGTTCTAAAACTAACCTATGATTACAATACTTGAAACAGGAGAAATTGCAGTGAAATGGTTGCATCATCCTATTGGTATATAAAAATGAAAACAAGGGCTAGTGTTTAGTTATCAGTTTGTTTCAAGGATGCTAGGAAATGAGTATCAAAAGTGACAAATATTTTTCATCGACCAACATCTTAATGAAATAAGGCACAGCACCACAAACATTCATAAATGTATGTATGGCTGCACTCGAGAGTGATACTGCATCTTCCTGTACACCAAAAGGTGAGTTTAAATATTTGAGTAGCTAAAAGCAATATTCAAAGATAACCTATCTAAATAGGGCTGCAATGTTGTGATTGCCAAAGAAATGTGCAAAAGTCAATATATATGTGACAGAAAATCAATGTGTGACAGTTCCTACCACTGCAAAAAATATGAGCATCAGCTGGGTTATGTGGGGGAGGGATATCATAAAAAAAGCTCAACACATTGATGGCATGTGCCAGCATCTTAATTCCCTCTGACTCAAAATCATTCCTGTTTCAAAAACTAAAATAGTCCCAAGATAGTTTATAGCATTCATTAAGATCTGTGCTCAAGGGGAAAATACACAAATCCAGTTTCTACTTAATATCTCTCCATGTGAGTAGTGCAGTGATCAACATTCAGCGTATTTTTTCCCTTCTCTTTATACAAGTGAAACGACGTAGCAGGAGATGTTTGACAAAGATTCATAGCTGAGTTTAGAACTTATGAGAAAGGTTTCAGAGATTTCAAATCGAACTTGTTTCCTCCCAACGAGTTCCCAATGAGTCTTAATTCACAGGAAATTATTATAAATTTGATTGATTGACTGACTGAGTAGAACGGTGATAATAATGGAAAAATACTACTCAAAAATGGTTTCAGGATTAAGACAGCATTTCTTTATGCTAGAACTCAAATCCTAACACATCAAAATACTAAACATATTACAGTACACAAAAATGGCATAAAAACTCATTAATTCAGTACGGACATTTATATTATGCACAGACTTTCTTAAAATGTATTGCCTATTGTATTCACAATGCCACTCAGTAAGATTCAAGGTCTATCAGCAGCTAATATTACTACTTTGAGAATAAAGATGAGATGCACATTTTAAAATTTAAATTATGTAGAAATTATTATTTTAAAAGTTGAATAATTGATTGATAGAAAGTGTGCAATAGCATGATTTCAAATTTAAATAATAAGTATATTACAAAAATAAAACTATTCTTTACCATAAGAGTTCATTTTTGCTAACCACAATTCGACCATGACTAGTATAAAATAATGTCATTACCATGGACCAAAAATTATAAAATAACGTCATTACTATGGAACAAAAATTACCTCAACATCAAGTCGGGAAGGGATTATATCTTCATTTGGCTCATAACTGCATAACTGTGATAAGATATCCATTGACCTAATATTCATGTATCGGTCTGGTGACTGTATCCCATCCATAACAGTTTGAAACATAACACGAGAACATAAATCCTTCTCAATGGATAATTTTATCTGAGACAAAAAGGAGAATATTTGAAACATATGCAAGAAAATAGTTAGATACTAGACAAAAGAAACAAACATATCGACAATCTCTAATTCACTCACTCACACTCATGCACGCACACCGAGGGAAAAAAACGATAACTTACTTCTGATGCTAAATTTGCTAAGGTATCATAAGCAGTTTGCTTCAAATTTGCCCAAGATGAATGTATGGAAAGTAAAAGAAACCTAAAGAAATTTAAACAGACAGTAAACCACTGTAGTTAAAGAATTATCAAGCAGTATTTTGCTTAGCCCAAGAAATTAAATGTCAAGATTAAAATAAACATACCTTATGAAGCTGGAATTACAAACTAAAACAGGAACATTATTCTTCTCAAATGATAAATTATGTAAGATCAGAGCAACCTAAAAGATCAAAATATTTTTTCAATATAAAGTAGAAACAATACAATATTTTTACCAGATTAGGAATTAGAAACAATACACAAGATTAGGATACCCCCTTTTCCGAGTATATGTTTGGTTTTAGCCCAAAATATAGAAGAGATGTATGTGGCAGAGCATAAATGTAAAATGTCTGTTTAATGCAGCCAGTTAAATAATCACAGTTTAACTGCAAACACAATAAATTCTTTGATACTCCAAACCTGGCTATATTAATATACAAAATAAAAAAAACCTTTTACCACTTAATAAAAAAAGTATGCGAAAGCCTACAAGTCAGAGTTATTTAAAATGCATATAATATAATAAATAACAAAGCATTTTTTGCAGTAACTAGAAATGGAAATTTCCCTTGACAATTTTACATATGTATTGTCTGAACAATCATGATGGATTTTTTTCCCTACTTCAATTACCTTTGTTTATATAAAGAACAACGATCAGTCATTAATCTATTGCCTGTTTTGTTCGAAAACATTTTGCCCATTTTTTTAATGAGCTTTAATTTCTCACTCACAAAAGAATTTTGCTTTTTCTGCGAAAAGCTGAGCAAGGTGCTGATTCATACCCTCATCTGAATTGAATGTTATGCCACAAATGAAATTTTGAAGACAGTGAAACAAGTGGAAGTCTAAGGGCAAGTGATAATGATGCTGTATTGTTTGACTATTCTAAGTACTGTTGACTTCTAAATATTATTCTAAGAATATTCTAAGTATTGTTTGACTTCTTTAACCAATAAATTTTCAAAACAATGATCAAAGAGAGCTACTGCAACATAGCCAGCCGACACTCTGCAGTGCACCGTTGTATAACTGAAATTCTAAATCAGGACAAATTAAATAGAGAAAATTAATGTAATGCATATATGCAAAAACACATTACACAAGACTATGTTCGATAAGGTTTTACTGTAATTCAAATATTTTTAGTTAAAACTTTCAATACGGTATCTTTCTTTTGCCTTAAATAAAAATGTACTTTTAAATATCCTGCTTTTGGTTTTTCTGATAAAAAATTACTTGTTACTTTACTCCCATTGAAAATGAACAATTGGTATACACTATTCAGTTCAAGCAGAATCCTTCATAAATAAAAATAATTCATAACTCAGAAGTTTGTACAAACAAGAAATCAAACAAGAAAAAAAAAATTTATAAGAAAAATCTACCTAAAGCAAGCAATTCTTTTATATTGAAACTAGATGAAAAACAGAATTTATAATCGCAATGAAATGTTATTTAAGTGCTTAACATCCATGAATTACACAATTACTCTCAAATGCCGATAATTCAATATATGTATTCATAAAATACAAAACTCTTTCTTATGTAACTTGAATAAAAATATTTTACGTATATAACATAATAGGCAATTTTTTAATGGCAGAATTGAAGAAACTTTATGATCTAAAAACATGCACTTTGCAGATATTCTAAGAAACTATCCTTAAAAAAATGAAGGTAATTAACTAACTGTTAGAAAGTTTATACATACTTTCCTACACAATTTCAGAAAAAATGGGTACAGGTTACTTAAGCACAAAAGGTTAACAGAATAATACATACAAAGAAAATTAAGAGCATTTCAGAATAATTAATATTAATGGTAACTTGATGAGAAAATTTCACTAGGATATGTCATAATACTTTGATGAACGAAGCTAAAACTCTATAAGCCCAAGCTCACTTATCTAACATACTAATACAATTTTAATGGGGGGGGGAAGTAGATAGATTTAAAATGGGTAAATAATAATTACTAATCCATAAAGATTCCAATTTTTCCAGCTACAGGAAAAAAAAAAATTTCCAACGAGCAGTCCCATCTATTAGATACAATTGAAATACAGCTGCAAAAACAAAGCATACAGCCAGTTCAGCTTATAATACAATGTTCAATTCAATGGTAAATTCACAGCACCAATAAACACATAACATGACAGGTAGAACATACAATACTATTGATCCATACACTATGGATATTCACTTCAGATTTAAATGTTTTGATGGCAAAATTTAAACTGAAATGCTATTTATTCAAAAAATTACGAAATATTCATCGTAACGAAACAATAAATGTTCTTAATTTTATATATCCTGCCAACCTTTAGCACGTATTAAGGTAAATTTTCAAAAGTTTTAAATTCCTTGAAATCACAATTTGCATACAGCTGGATTCTAATCTTACTCTTTCATTATATTTGTACATTTTGTTACCTATTGCATACTTACATGAAACTACAAGAAATGTCCTTTTAATCATAATTTTATGATGCTCATAAAATTTTACTTTGTAGCATGCATTATTAAAATCCACAAAATTAAATGCTTCCTACATGCTCAAATTACATCTTTTGAAGACTGAATTTTCCAAAAAAAAAAAAAAATGCATTAAAATACAAGAAAAAACACCCATAAAATGTAATACTAACCCTTAATACTCTTTGCCCTTCCACATTCAATGCACCCAGATCAGATTCCAAATTGAGTAGTTTTTCATCAGGATCATATTCACCTACAAAAAGATGGAAATAGAAACATAATTCTTAATTTAAAACATTTTCATGAAAATTTTTCAAAATATTAATCTAATTTAAGAAAAGAAAATAAAAACTTTTTGAAAACAGCCATCAAAAGAGTTTTCTATTTCAGCCAAATAATTAAATTTCATCTTTGCAGATACAGACTTAAAAAATCAAGAACCTGTATGTAAAAAGTACAGTGTCCTTGTGTGCATAATGTGAAGTTTTGTGTATAATGCAACCTTCAATTTAATGTCCATTACAGCTGACTACTGCATATTATTCTGCAGTTTTTGGTGATTGAGCATAAAAGTATTATAGAAAATATTCCTAAACAAGGCTTCTACTTGTTTAAGAATATATATGCTGATAATTGACTTAGCTGATTTTCCTAAGTCAATTATGCTAAATAAGAGTTTACCTTTAAAAAGCTATCTATCACTGAGGAATTCTATGTGTGAATCCCATGCACCAGTACCTAAAGTACATGAAAAACTTCAAGTAAATTTTCATATGTTAGCCATAGTCATTCACATAGCCACAGTTAGTTCACATAGCCACAGTTTCACTGTACTTGAACTCTCCAGTGAAAATTCAGTACAAAGTGCATTTAGCAGATCAAACCTGTAATTTTAATAAATATTTTACATGCTATGTCCAACATTCACAAGAATTTTCCTGAAAATAACACACACATTCACAAAAAAATATAAAGGTTTCATTAATCCTTTTTTTCCTTTATAATATGCAGAATTTCAACTAAAATTAACAAAACTAATAGAAAATGTGACCACATTCAAACATAAGCAATGAAGAATACAAACATATACAAAAAAATGTTTAGCTGTGCATAACTGAAATGTATTTTCCTTCTTTACTTTCCTAAGTTGATACCCAACTACACTCATGTCCATAAATTAAGGATAATTCCGAGTCCCACGGAAATCAAACTCTAAAATAAATATATCACCTGTAAAATCACTACGCACATCTTCAAGAATCATATGCAAATTTCAGGAGCAGATTCAGATGACACCGATGGTACGTCACAATGACGAGAGTGTAACAGAGTGATATATAAGGAATACAGGCAAAGAAGTAAAATTGTTCGCAGGCGCTTTATAAGCATTTCAGTGCAATAACCAAATAATTATGACACAAAGGACGCATTTGGATGATTTTTTACGCGGTAGAATTATCGGCCATCTGGAATGTGGGCGTACCCAACTGGAAATATCAGACGAACTTCGAATTGTCCACAGGATCATCTCCAGGCTTTGGCAACGATTCCAAGATGATGGTAATGTGAGTAGACGTTACAGCACAGGTCGCCCCAGAGTTACACCGAATGAGGACCTGTATTTGGCAGTTACTGCCAAAAGAAACAGGCGGAGCACAGCCTCAGAGACTTGTCTCGTCAGCTATCTTCAGACACTGGTACTACAATTTCAAGGCAGACGCTTAGAGCAGATTGGTCTATATGCTCGTAGACCTGTCAGATGTGTTCCACTTACTGCAACTCACTGTCGCCTGTGGTTAGCCTGGAGTAGAGAGCATGCATTGTGGACACCGCAACAGTGGGCTTGTGTGATGTTTTCCGACGAGTTCAGGTTTAGCTTGCAGTCTGATTTTCGCCGGACTTTCATATGGAGAGCTCCAGGTACCCGTTACCACCAGGGGAAAACATCATTGAACGACACCGTTACGGTGGTGCAGGAGTGCTCGTTTGGGGTAGAGTTATTCTGGGTTCCAGAACTGACCTGCATGTTCAAATTGGAACCATGACAAGCCAAATCTATCGGAACGTCATTCTGGAACAACATGTACGTTTGTTTCGGGGCACCATGGGCGCACAATTTGTGTTTATGGATGACAACGCCCGTCCTCACCGTGCAAACATGGTAAGCGAATGCCTTCAATTGGAGGATATCACCCGTATAGACTGGCCAGCATTCTCACTGGACTTGAATCCAGTAGAGCACGTGTGGGACATAGTCCGTCAACCTCCTCCTACATGTCTACCGGAACTTTGGAGAGCATTGCTTTTTGAGTGGTGTAATATCCCCCAAGATCAGATCGATAATTTGATACTCAGCATGCCTAGGGCGTTGTACGGACTGTATTGCATCGTCTGGGATGACATACAATATATTAACAATCATATTGACCATGTAATATTGGTTTTTTGTGAATAGGTTTTTTTGTAATTTGCTCCAGGGAGAAAAACTCGTTAATTTTTTTAATAATATCAAACATATAGTATCTTTTTTTGCTCTTTACCTTTTGTTTAATAAATAAGCTTTACAAATAAGTCAAATTTGTTTTGCTTTTAACTCTTCTTTTGCCTGATTTTGAATTATCCTTAATTTATGGACATGAGTGTAGTAAGGACAACTTATATAAAAATTACAGGTAAACAATGTGTCAATTCAGATGCTTATCAATGTACAGAGGGCTGTGTTACAGTTTATTAAATATACTGGATGATTAGGGATTTTTCACAATCATTTTTAAAATTCTGAAACACTTTTCTGTAAGCAAACTATACCAGTCATATGCAAACAAACCAAAATAAATGTCTATACAATTGATGGGGAAAAGTGAATGAGCATTATATACATAAAGAGATGAGTACAAACATAAAGAGATGAGACAAATATAGACAATATCTTCATGTTGATTTGTGCATACATATCTAGAGAGAGAAATATCCCAAAAATAATGATGGAATACACTAAACAAAATTAAATTTCAATTTTAAATTTTAATATCAGACTTGGTGAAAAATACATAATCTTTAGAACAAACTACAAAATCATACAAATCTTTATATAGTTTATAAGACTGTATAAATTGTAATCTTAAGCTTTTATATGCTGATCAACATATAAAATTATGCTATTTTGTTTGTCGGTCACAGATTTAATGCATGGAACCATAATATACAAGATATGACGAGTTTACTAAACTACTTACAAAAGTATTGACTGCAGTAAACAAATATGAAATATACATAAAATAAATATTCATCTTAGCATAATATTTCAGTTCAATAAACAATCATTAAACTAAGTCTAAGCAAATTTTTAAAATGTGGTTTGATTCCTCGGTCTCCCAACTCAAAAATTCAATTCTAGCAATGCTGCGAACTTTAAAATAAGGAAGGAAAAATCTGAAAATTTGGCACCCCATTATTCAAGATATTAAATTAGCTACAGCATGATTTTAATGCAGATATGTCTTATTAAAATTTAGAATAGCGAGTTAAACTTTATGCCATAGTAAATTCACTTTTGTAATTTTTTTTAAATTTTAAACTAATAAAAACCTAAAATATTTATTTATTGATAAAATAACTAGCAAAAGAAATTTATTAAAATGTTTCAAACATGCTGAAAATCAAAATCAAATTAATAACTCTAGTACACATAATCAAATAGATGAAAACTAAACAATAGCAGAAGTAAACAATTTAAAGTAATGCATAAATGAATAAACCAGAAATTTCATTTTTAACACAAATTTTATGCTTTTTGGAACATGGCACTTACAATATCTAATGATTACCTTCATCATTAGAGCTAATGATTACTTTATTCCAGCTAATGATTACATTTGGAGCAGTAATCAAATTCCTGTTATCTTTCAACAACTACCATGGGTAATTCAACATACCTAAATCTAATCCCAATAGCTGAGCTAGATGAGTATTTTGTAAATCAAGAGTACTCCTCCAAAACCGATGCATGTTTCTACCTTTAAGGTCCTTCCAGTTCTCCAAATACAGCATTTTCAAAGAATTGTCATCTAAAATGCACACGATAGTACACAAAACATAATTACAAGTAATTATTAACAACATTTGCACAACATGATATCAAAAGCAACATTTACAATTGATTTCATTTTTTTAAACAGAAAATTATGCATACCTTGAGGCCATACACCAGCCTGTGCAATAAGAAGATCGACTAATTTTGGAGCTTGCTCTAAATGTAGCATGTAATTCCCTTCATTTGATAATATAGTACAGACATTTAGAGCTAATTCTTGTTCATTTGGAAGACCACAAAGGAGAGACATACATAGCTTATCGTAATCGGTGGGGGACACAAAAACTTGATTTAATCCTGATGTAGAGCGAGCAGTATCTGAAAATACACAATTACACCAATTACAAAATACAAAGTTATGTTTTTAAAAAATATTAACCATCTGCAGTGTGCACTTTTAAAGCATATTTTCTAACTTAAAAATTCACTTAAGCTACAATAAAATTTTCACAAACTAAAAACCATGACAAAGTGCAATCAACAACAGGCAAGGTCATGGGAGAACAAAGTGCAGAAAATATGCTCTGTAACATGTTTAACCATATCTCAGCATCGCATAGAAACACGCATTACAGATTTCTGTTAAAACTCTAGCATGCAAGGTCATAATTATTGCAGTAAATGGAACAGCGATCTATTTCAAACTTATTGAATCTGCAAATAAAATTCACAGCATGCTGAAATAAGTTAGTAGAGATGAAGCCATATATTTAAAGTGCCTTTAAGAACGTGTATGAAATCAAAGGAATTCCATTAAAGATGCTGCTCAAAGTATAGGCCTACAACTTCCAATAGTGATGAAACTGCTGACAAAATGAAGAAGATGCTAGCAAGAAATAGCAACAAAGGATGCTTACAGGATGTTCTACCAAATTTTCTACACAGGCTATCCTTTAAATATGTCTAGACTATGCTGAGGACAGCTTTTGCTTTTCTCCTTATGATAATGCCTAGTCATGTATGGCGATCACTGTAAAACAGTTTATGGCATGTTGAGTTGTAACCCTTGATCATCCTATTCACACCTGGTCTTGCTCCAGCAGATTTATCATTCCTACACTTAAAAAGAAAACAATACTGGATAGTCCAGACATTCAAAGAAATGTGAGGAGAGTTCTCCTAATACTAAATTAGGACTCTGACTGCAGTTTACAGGAGCCATATAATCACTATCAGAAGTGCATTGCAAATAACATACAACTTCAAAGGAATACGAATTCCCCGATTTAGGTAAGAATGTTTTATTTACGAACTCATTCACCAAAGTTTATTGTCATACCTTGCAACTGTCAAAGTTTTACAGCATTATTTTCACTTGTCATGGTTTGCTAGATGATTTTCTCATGGCAATGTTTGTACCACTTGACCGAAAGAGTAGTTTCTCTTAAAAGAGTTAAGCACATATATGGTAAATGACTCACCATTTAGTCATTTAATGTTGAAGTAGAATTAAGAACACTAAGTAGTTCTCTTTTCCCCCAAGAAAATATAATGTGTAGTATTATTAAGCTTAGCATCTTTTTGAAAAATGCGAACTAAAATATCAATCAGGGCTGAAGCTCAAAGTGTATCACTTGCAATTTTTATTGGTATTTTTAAAATTAGAGAGAGTGTTGGCAAATCAGTTCAGGAAAATCTAGTTTTATAAATTTTTACTCGTGTAAAAACTAATAGAGTTAAATACCCAAAATCCGCCGACCTGAAATCCACGTTGCCTCTAAAAATATAAACATTTTGTTTATAGGTTCCAGAAACCGAAACATGTACGAAATATCAAAGAAAAAAATACTTACTGGATAATGATGTCATAATTACCGAATAATAATGAGTCATAACTGAAATACCATATTATTGACATTATGATACAAGTTTTTTTTCCCTCCAATCTGCATTGAGGTAAAAAAGCAGATGATTAACTCAACTTTCTTTTAAGTTCACGCTTCACGTTAATGTATTTTTTTTAGCTTTGTTATTTCACGAGATTTTTTAGTGATGTCTTTTTTTATCCGTATATTTTGTGGATAAATTAGAATTTTTTTTTAATTCAGGCTTTTTAAACAAATGGAAAGATAAGAAAACGCACTCTGATTTACTGCTTGCAACGTGAAAAACATAAAAAACGTTTGCATTGACGGTAATGAAAAAGTGGAAATTCTGCTAAGAGGAGGCACGTGCTACTGCTCGGTTTATAGCAGAATCTTATGGAATTGCCACACGGACTGTGTATACTGAGGTAAAAAAAAGTATAACAAAAATCAACACACATCAAGAACTGTTCAGAGTTTTAATTACAAAACTACAAAATTCACTACCCACGAGGCTCTGAGATCTTAACTAACCTAACCGCGTTCTAAAATACAGCTGAGATTCAGCTAGCTTACTAATTAAGTAGTTGAAGGATTCAGCAAAAACTGCTGAGATAGGCAAACAGGCCGAAACGCACTGTTCTTAAATTTCTACCTAGCAACCTTCACGTATGCGATTCAAGAAGCACACCTACAATCTCGTTTTCCTTCCTATTTAAACTCAACTTACTTCTGCTAAAATTTGAATATACTGCGTGCTCTACTACAATTTACATACTCTAGCATTGGCAATTCTAGGGAAAAGTAAAGGCTTGAGAGGAAAGATAGCTTAAACTTAAAATAAATATAAACCCTACAATGTGAATTCCATACATTGTAAAAAATTAAAAAAAAAAAAAAGAAGCATCTGTCAGCTTATCAAATGGCTTAAAAATTACTTTCAATGTGTTGATGCAGGTAAGTCTGCAATACTTCAAAACTTCTGTTTTTTTTTTTTTTTTTTTTTTTTAACATGGAAATTTTAATGAATTGTCTTGTGAATATAACTAAAGACAAGACAAAATTCACAAGCAAATACCAAGCTAATCATTATTATTTTAGACATCATTAAAAAATGAATAATCCATATGACATCATGCTTAACTAAATTTTTAGTTTTCACTGAGGTAAAAAAAAGTATAACAAAAATCAACACACATCAAGAACTGTTCAGAGTTTTAATTACAAAATTTCAAATGATATATGATGAAATTAATCTCTATCCTCCCATCAACACTTATCCAATGAGTTCAATATAGAATGAAGAGCTTTTCTCAACCATATAGATGAGGAAAATGACAAATACAAGGAAAAGATCAAGTTAATAAAATATTGTAACAAACTGTAAAAAAAAAAAAAAAAAAAAAAAAAAAAAACTTTAACATGATTATTATACAGTCAAACGTCTTTAATCCGGACTCGTCAGAACTTCGGCGATTCCGGATTATCGGTTTTTCCATAATAGATCATCAATTAAATCGGTAAGATGGCATGCAGAAATTAAAAAATTAAAATATGAAACCGTAATTTATGAAAGATTGTATCGTGATATTATAATGACGATGAATTGATTTTAAATCATATCAAAGATGGAGACATCGAGATGAAATACTACATTTAGTAGGGAATTAAAGCCCAAATAAAATAAAAAAATCTGCCCTGAAGATAAAGGATAGTGCTGACAGATCAACTTCCAGTTCATTGCGCAGCGTGACTTCCCCCCTCGCAGAGCGTGAAATTGATACTATTCGGAATGTTAGAGAACGAATGATATGCCTTTATCCATTTTGCAGCATTCCACTTTGTTTGATGGACGAGATCTTTGCAGCTCTAGAATCGGAAATTTCTTTTGACATAATCGAAGTTCAAGCTTACTTTTAAAAATTGCTCTAACAGTCTGAAAAAAAAAATATCTGAATCCAATTAGAAGATTAAGGACAATGCAATCTCAACATTACTGATATAATTAGGTAATTTTAGCTTATACCGTCTGTTATACATTAAACGTGCATGCGTAAACATATTACGCGCATGCGTAAATGTGTTACGTGCAATGCGTTTACGCATGCGCAGAAAGTTTGTAGCTTTGAGGTCCGGATTACAGATCGTTCCGGATTATGGACGTTCGGATTAAAGACTTTTGACTATATTAAAATATTATTTTATATTAAAAAAAGACCATAACACTGGCCTTTGCTTCTTGGTTGATATTTTTCATAACTTTGTGATAAACTGAAAACACTTTTCATGACTTAAAATACATGGTTTCATGATCTGCATTCTTTTATCATTCACAGGACATATTTTAGGTATAGCTTGGTAAGTCCTCGTGAAGCTTGGCATCACCTCTTAGTCATTTTTGTATGTTAGACCTCCTTCTACATTTCTTTTAGACCCCACATTGAAAACTAATGGTAATAAATTATGTTAAGATAATGCTGATTTTTGTTGTTTGACTTCTAAATTAATATAATGGAAATTAAATTGAAACTTGCAACGAAATAGCATTCAGAAATGATATTAATACAGAGATGCTGAGAGCCATGCATGGGGTAGAGATGGACAAAACCAGGACAGGAATTGTGTGCTCACTGAAGTGAATAACTTCTTTTTTAAGATTCATCGCTCACTAACAATGACCTCGATGAATCCGCTCAAAACAGAAATGGATCAAGAGCAGTGTGCAAAGATGGGGGGGAGGGGGGAAGCAGAAAGAATCTAACAATGAGTGGGATCGATTGCATCAACTCAAACCACTCACTCCCTGGACTGATTTCTTTCAACTTTAGTTTTGAGATTTCCTAAAAATACCTTTCTAGACTGAACTAATAATAAAATTCTAGAATTAAAAACTGCTCAATAAGTTGAAAAATAATGAAACCTAAACTCACTTTTGTTAAAAGGTTAAAATATTTTACTACTATAATTGATATTTTTTACTACTACAAAGCACAGTGTAAAAATACCTAACACTAAAACTACCAGCACTACAAAAAATACAGCGTAAAAAACACTTAACATTAAAAATTTAATAAAATATACCAGTTAAATATAAAAAAACTAATCAAAGTTTTGATTTATGCATGCAATTTTAAGTGAACTTCCCCGACAAGAGACAGTCTTTTCTCAATACATAGCTGGCCTCCTTTCGTAAAGATCTATTCGCAGGGCATTGAACTATCACTGAAGAAGGGATGCATAATCGTTTTAGAACAAGCTCATACAACATAAGATATATCAGTTTTCAGGTACCGCTCTAACAACCTTTTTGGTATATCATTAATTAAAAACTCTATTTCTTTTAACAACCCCATGACTTTATTTCTGTCCTTATAAGCTTTCATCCAATAGGCCATTAATCTTATTAAAATTTCTTATTTTGGAAAGATAAATAGTTAAGTTCTGATAACATTTCCTGTGTTAGATCGTCAAAAACCTTGATTTTTTGCCTAATACAGAAAGGGAAGAAATTAT